ATGTTGAGGAGGGCAAAGCCAACAGGTTATTTAAATAATGTCTATGTATGCCTGCATGCTGACTTTTGTTAGGTGTCCGCCAATAACGCCTTGTATAAAGAAAATATATGGTTACTAAAGTTAATCCTCCATTCACACCAAATCCTATTCCAGTGACTTTCAGGTGCTGTTGCTAGCCCAACTTACTCTCAGCAATTTGCTTGGCAGATGACGTGCTTCACTACTGACACTTCTCTCATGTTTATCAGAGGGAAGGAGCTTCTATCTGCTAATTGACGATTTAATATCAGCATGGTGGACTTTTACTATTTTACTGAATGAATCACAGTCCTTTATTAGCTATGGGACCTCAGACAGCATTTCTGTTTTCTCTGGGTCCACCAGATCCTCCAGAGTTGATACTAGTTTGGGTAGTCCAGGGGCTATAGCTGGATAGCAATCACTCATGAGCTCAGACAGAAACAGCGGGAGATCGTAGCAAGTTCCTGGACAGAGAATCCAGCAGAACTGGGGCAGAGACGGCCAGCCAGGCATCACACTGGAGCTAAGGGAATGCAGCAGGACAGTGGTAGATAGGAGAAAGAGGCAAGCCAGAGTGTGCATTAGAACAGGGGAGAGCCCACGTGGGGCCAGGGCAGGAATAGCGGGAGATCAGAGAAAGGACTGAAGCAGTGGGTGGCTGGGATCATCTCAGAAGCTACAATAAGTGGAAAAATTATGATTGGTTTAACATTCCTTTTAGGGGCTAAACTGAAATGGGTTTTTAAAAGCTATACAAAAACCTCTTAAGACCATTCCTTACTTAAGCATTCACTTTTTTGGTCCTAGGGATCAACGTCTGTAGATATATCTATTAGTATCTCATGGGGTAAGTTTGACATTTTGAAAATAAAACCCCTCTATCAATCTTTCCGGTAAACAACAATTTTGAAAATAAAATTTATAGAGTATGTGCCAGCTCCTGGATAATTTTTTATTTTCTTTGTTTGTTTTCTTTGTTGTTTCTTTTTAATTGATCATTTTGCTACTACATTATGTATGGCAAATATTTATAATGATTAAATGAATCCTTTTAAAACTGTTTTGGGATCTGAGTTAAAGATAAGACACAAGTTGTAAGATAATGGGACAGGAGAATCCTAAAAGCATTTTAAAGGGGTCATAGAATGATTATATAGGGTATTTGGTGCTGGTCCTTAAGGTCTCTGAATAGGGTGTGTAACATTGGTTGGGCTGAAAATGGCATATTTACTGTTCTATAAGCCCTAATGCAAGCCTAGTTATAAGCCCTAGAATGAAACGATAGGTTTTCTTCCCTTTATGGTATGGATATTTAGATTAATATTTGCTTGCTTTTTAAAATTATGAGCTTGCTTTAAAACAAGCAAAGCCGCTTTGCAAAGACGCATCATAGTAGCCTAACAAGCACTCACTCACTGAAACATTTAAATTGTTGATATGGTAGTATGACCAGAGGTCCTCTTTTTCTCGGACATCTCCTACTTTTCGTACTTAAAAAAATGTCTGGGGGGGATTTTAAAATGTCCATTTTGGTCGACTACAGTTCAGCACGTAGTCAAAACACACTGGGCACCCGAACCGAACCATCAGCTCTGGGGCTGGTCCAGGAACCCCGGCGGAGGGGGCCAGGAGGCCAGTGGGTGATCGAGCGTCTGAACCCGACCCGGTGACGGTAGCCTGGACACCGGCGACCCCGCGCTTCCCACCGCCTGCCTTACCGGCCCCCTAGACAAAAGTACAGGCCAGAACCAAATAAGGCACTATCCCCAAGTTTACGTCAACTCTGTGCTTCGTTTGGATTTGCACATTTTGTGGTTTGTAATAAAAAAAAAAATGTAATTCAATTTATAATTGTTTATGGACCAGAAATACTTTTGCGAATCATGTGCTGTGCATGTGTGAATCTTGTATGCTTGCGTGAACCGTGCTGTGTGTGTGGATTGTGTACTGTGTTTGTGTGTGGATTTTTTTGTGCTTGCATGAATCCAGCTGTGTGTGTGTGGATCTTCTCCTGTGCATGTATGAATCACATATGTGTATTTGTGAAAACTGAGACCGATTTAGCTCCATAGATTTAGACCTATTTAAACAGGATACACATTATCTGAGGATTATCTGCCAAATAATAGATAAATTGCTCTTCTACATCAGCTTTCGTGTGGCACATTTGTGCAGCCTGATATTTACTGTACAAAGATGTACGAAAATATCCAGTGATGGATAAGGTTAATGCACTGCACATTATGCAACATCTGTTCAATTCCATCTGTTTAGAAAAAAGCTGGAGTCCTTGGAAGTTGGAGTATTGTAAATTACCCATCAAATACTTTATTTGAAATTGTACTTTAAAAAGAGCTAGAATACTTAGAAAGGTAAAACATCCATGTGGATTAAATGCACATAAGTACTGCAATGCAGTGCTAGGAAATGTTTTAAATACAAAAATACTGCTCTCAGTTAATGGTAGTCAATTACATTGCAATCATTTCTTTTTCTAAAGCCTCTGTTGACATCCATTGTTATGGGAGTTAGTGGGGAGCTGTGTTGCAGACTATACAAAGTTATTTTACATTACTGGCTTTTGTTACCACCCAGTTGGCTTTGAGTGGATACGAGACTCTCAAAGGCTGATTTGTCCTTAATGTTGTTTGAAGAGTGCAAATGTTAAAATGGTTATATGTTCTTCAATTTGTTTTTCTTTTATGGCAAGCTTGACATGACTGGAAATCTTAAGAGTACACTCTTTAAGGATTTGTAAATAATTCAAAGCGGATCTGGGTAGACATGTTCCTGGTTTTACCACTGCCAGTTAAAAATCATATAAATGCCTGAACAAAACAAAATGTGAAGGTAGGGGCCAACCTGTTTGCTGCCTAAACACCCCATTAATACTTGCATAGATCCTTTGTTGGCTGATGTCTCTCCAATTTTTGTCTTTGACTCAAGGGCTGACCTTACTTTCTCTCATTTTTTTTTCAAGAGTAAAAAATACTAGACCTAACTATAACCATTTCTTTTAAATGTCTTAATTGCAAATGGTTTTAAATGTACATCCACTGAATCTCAATGCTCCTGAGAAAGCTAAACACTAAGGCTACTTTCACACTGCAGGCCTTGATGCTCAATTCCGATTTTTTGTGAAATCCGATTTTTTTTTGCGTTGCTGTTCATATTTCCAAATATATGCAACTTATATGTGATCTCCTGTGTGAACTGCAGTCATACAACGCAAGTATCCCGCATTCGCAGTAGAGGACACAATGACGTCACAGGCTAGCGTGCTCTGTGTTTACGGAAGTAAACATGGATGGTAGTACCGGCGCGCATCTAGCGATCTTTTCCAACCATAAAAACACAATCTTTTCACATGGTTAAACATAAATACTGCTCTCTGCATCATCATCTGCCAAGGTTGTTGTTTTTCTTGCCCCTTCTGCGTAGCAAGATGCAGAATAGTGACCTTTGTCGGGTATTAATGACGTTCAGGTCGGATGAATCCGACCTGAACGTCAGACACAGGTAGCATTTGAAAAGATCAGATTCGTATCGGATTCAGGACCACATAGCCAAGTGGCCTGGGTCGCATTGGAAAAAATCGGATCTGTGTTGTTCAGACAGCCATGAAAAGATCAGATCCAGGTCGCATATGGGCAAAAAAAATCGGATTTGGGTCATTTCAGGCTGCAGTGTGAACGTAGCCTTACTGTATTCACGTACCAGACATGTTGTTGTTTTAAACAGGACAATTATATAGGGATAATATAAATGGCCCACAAATGATACATGAGTACCTTGGGAATTGCAGTATAAGAAAGTTACTTTTTAAAATGGTAAAGCTGATTTGTTTTATTTATAATCATCAGTTTTCAGCATAATTTTTCAATTATTGGAATGGATCATACAGAATTGTCTCACCTGTTAAACTGGGCTCGCAGATGTTGAACTCGTCTACAGTTGGAGAGCAGCTTTCACATGCACATCAAGTACAGAAGATATCTCACATACTCACTTCATTACACTCAACTTTAATACTCTGTGCTGTTAAACATTCAATTTACCCAGGATAATGAATGCTTAAAATTTAAAGTAATGCTTAAGGCATTATCTACATTCCAGTAATCTGGTTAAGGAAGTCAGAACACCTTAAAGTTTTATTCCTTGATGTTCATTTGACCATGAAGAATGAAAAATGTCAATGTGAAAGTACTTTACCAGCCACTGAAGCAGTTTACGAATGTGAACACACCCTTGGTAATAAGAAACATTGATTTAAAAAAGGAAAATTAAATATTGTTTATAAATGTGAAAAGGAATGAAGAATTAAACAAAAATGTGCTTCACTTCCTCACCATAAGGTCTGCTTAAGTCAACAATTTATTGATATGTTTTCTAGATACAAAGATAGGAAGATAGGTAAGCTGTATGTGGGTTTTAATCAGTCCTCATATATTTCATGATGCAAGGTTGTCTCATTTAGAGCTGATTTTATTTAAAACCTATTGACCCTTGTAAGATGTTGTGTCAAGTAAGTGAACACAGGGTCTTCATTATTTGTGTTGTCATTGCTTTAATCTGATTAAGGCTTGTGTAGCTATCGACTTTCTGATTTGGCTCTGTGCTTCTGTATTCATGGGACAGCTTAGTTCAGACTGCTCAGTCTTCGCCTAACCTCTGACAGCTCTTAAACAGAAACAGAAGTGCAAAGAACCCCTGGGGTGCACAGGCACCGGATGTTTTCCAATAACAGCTTTTGGCTAAGGGAAACATTCTCTCCCCCATGTGGCAGTGTGATTTTATCACTTTTAACCAGCTGCCATTGCTGCTGCTCTCACCCACTCTTTCTATTTCTCTAAATCCCCAAGGAGTTTTGACCTGATTTTAGGCTGTTGGTATCACCAGGCCACTGGAGTAAATGTGATAAAAAGGGACCTTTTAGACGATAATTGAAACTTAAAGCATGATATTTCTGTTCTACTCACCTTATTTTGATTTTGTCCTGCTGAGAACAGGTCAGTTGGTGCCAGCTGAACCACAGTATCCCAGACATTTCTGTGAGAACCATGCGCTGTCACTTTAAACTGAACCGGCTCATCCAGGCTAGCTCCCTCTCCCTTGGCAAAGATGGATCCATCTGTCCGCACGCTGAAGACGGGGTCGCTGCTCTGGAAAACCACGGCCTCATTCCCCATGCAGTCATCAAATTTCACTGTGAACAAAATAATTTAAAGAGGTTTCACATTACACCACCGAGGAATAACAGCAAATACTAGCAATTACAGCGAATAGATAAAAATGGCAAAAAATTATGTCCAATTGGTCTCATTCACATGCAACAACCTAAGCTTTTAAAATTGCAGTTCCTTCTCTCTATCACACAAAAACACATGCATACTCAGCAACACAGCAATCAACGCTACTAAGTAAAAAGCAAACAACAAATTGTTCCAATAACATTGACATTTTAGCTTTCCAGTAGGTCAAAGCATTGCAACGCTTTATCCTGTGTGTTGCTCGCTGGAATTAGATGTAGAAGCAATTCATATATGCAAACAGCTTTTTCTGGGTTTTATTGTAAATAAGTGGAAAGGAAAATAAGGAACAGCGCTCTAGATGTACAGTGTCACTCCTGATAAAGATTTTAATGTTTTATTTTATTTTAGGTACAGGGGAGAATTCAACAGCTATGCAATAAATTATTAAACTAGATCACTAAAAAAGTTCAAAGTATGTCAGTTGTGGTCCATAACCTCTAGCCATCATTCCAGATCACTGTGTGTACAAGTATGCCAGAAAAACAACCAAGTGACAACTTAGTGAGCAGAAAACATATTTTGATGTGGTTGAGTCAGAGTTCAGAAATAAAATAATGAAAAAGTGAGTGTCGCCAGAAGGGGGCTTTAGACAACAGACATACTCCCACTTGGACAGAAATTTTGCAAGGAAAAAGTAAGACAATATTGCAGGATGAGGCATGGGTTGTTAACTAAGACTGACAGCAAAAACACAACAAAAACTTAAAGATGCTGTAACTAGGTTAGTGCAAATTTCAAATCTATTCTCCAACTGAATTGGACAGGATAAATGCATATAAATGAATGTAAACATTTTGAAATTAAATATCTCATTCATATTATAAAAAAAACCTTTGGAGCCACTGTCAAATGTGTCATGCATTCTTAAGATGATCTGGTTTTAAGCTGGTCTCCAAAAAATGAGCTTTAGAGATTTTTCTTCTTACTTTTACTCACACCGCACATGGTAGCAAAATAAATTTGTTTCTCATCCAACCTTTCATGTCACACCTTCAATCATGCACAATGCTTAACTGCTGCTCTTGCTGTAGATATTGGAAACATTAACGGGATGACCATACATCTGAAGGGATATGCAACTTTTTTGGGAGGGCGGCTTATCATTTGCACTTTCATCTAATTTCAAACTTTAGTATTTATTGTAGTCATTTCGTGTATTATAGGTAAAAGAAGTCATGTACTACAAGTGGTAAAATTTCATTTTATGCCCATATAACGTCTCTTTCGTTGTCTAAAGTAATCTTTACTAATGTAACCGAGCACTTAAAAAATATTGTTAAATGATTCTATTTTTAATACTTATGTAACTGTATGAAGTCATCATTTTGATTTGATTATAAGTGTTATTATCTCCTAGGTGAAACAGGGCTAGAATGTTATAAAAATCTTCGGAAACATGATTAGACTTAGATTTATTTTCTTATTGTGTTTACACAAGTGTATACAAAATAAAATTTAATTTAAAACAGCTCTAGACAATTTCATTTTTTTTAAGTTCAGCCTTGAAAACAGTAATAAATAAATAAATATAATAAATAAAAAGAAATATAAACATATGACTGTATATTTACAGTTCTAACATTTTTTTTTTTTTCTTTTTTTTATGTACTTAATATGGATATTGGAGATTTAAACCTTTGGATGAACATTCCTCTGTAGTTATTTTTATAGTACTAAACTATCAAAAAAAAAACAGTATTTAGCACCTGAGTATGAAATTAACAAGTATCTTTTGTTACAAATTTGTTAGTTCCTACATGTTTTGGCCTTAAGAAACTACAAAACCAAAAAAACACTTCCAAATGTGTTGTTGACATTGATTATAATTTTTCCATCAATTTATTATAACCAGGCAGTTTAAACTTTTTAATCATAGAAAAGAGGGTATGAATTTTTGTCTTAATCTCCTGTAAAAAAATATATATATATTTATTGATGTCCTTTTAATGTTTATTAAAAGGAGAAGTAGTGAGATGATTATATCCTATCCTGAATTTTACTAATTTTATTCCTCCCATGTGGCACCCATAGCCTTTCTGTCCTTATCTTGGGGATTACATTGCGTAGAAAGTATATTGTATGAATCCATGGTTAAAAAAAAAACAATTCACTTCTACATCTTCTCTTTTTTTCCTCCTACACCCCACAACAGCTGAAACAAGGATCCAATTTCAGAAAGCGACTGTGAGTAAATCTGTCTTTTTTTTCCACCTGTACTAAAAGAAGCCTGTGATCATGTCAGAGCCCTCCAGATGTCCAGGCAGCCACTCTCCAACTCTGTAGAGAGGACATCCATTTCCTGACAGCCTCCATCGGCTGTAGTAGGTGTTGAACAAGTGAGCTCTCTAAGAAACTGTTAAGACAAGACATAAGAGACAGACTGCATTGATAAACGGAGAGAAAAATCAGTATGAAAGTTTTCTTTATTTAACATAAGGTTATCTTTGTTTCGATTGATAAGCAGGTTCACCCGAAGCAAACCTCTGGCTTGCCGGTTTTGGTTTGTAATAATTGCTTTTCCTTTTTGTTAAATCTCTTTTTATTTCTTCACTTTCATTATATTTGCAGGTTTCAAAAGATTACATTTGGAAGGTAGAGTTGACAAAAACACACACACCATTTGCCAATTATGGCTGTAAACAAATGGAATTTTGGGAGGCTGCCTGAATATATTAACAGTTGGAGGAAGTAAAAATTTGATCTTAAATTGATTATGGTTACCTAAGTACACAGCACTCGGAAAAAAAAAAAATCTAAAATCCAAGAGGAAGAAAAAAAAGGACATAGAAACACAGTTGAGGCAGGGACATGGTCCTATGTTGCCCTTTCTTTCTGTTTCTACCAATTACAGTTTTTTCTTTATTTCTGAGCTAGGCACACAGCCAACAATGCAGCACTACTGCAGCCATGACTGCGAGAGGCCTGCAGGCATAGTCTACACACTGAGGGAATGGCTAATTTAGAGGTCAAACTGAGATGTAAATTCCTTATTCTTCATTTTGTCCTAGAAAAAAAAAATCACAAAACAATTCAAATGAAAACTGATTTTAGAGGGTTTTTTTTAATAAACAAGCCAATGCTATTAAATACAAATGACCAATTTTGCAATACACTAATCATTTGACACTTTGTGCTAAAGTCTTACTGTTAGATGATAAAACAATAAGGTGAAAAAAGAGCTATGACTTAAACCAATTTGTTGCATTATTGATATTTGTTGTGTTATCAATGGTAAATGAAACAGTAAAAGATGAATTTCAGCTTGGCACCAAGGATTTAGAAACTGTTTCAATATTCATTTTAAGTATTTATACCCCTTGAACTTTTTCCACACTAGATCACATTACAATGTACTTTATCAGGATTCTTTGTACAATATCACACAAACAGTGCGTAATTAAAAAACTGAAGGAAAAGTACTGAAATTCAGTACTTTTTGAACACCCTTTAACAATATAAAGTGTAATTTAATCCTTTTAGGGACTAACATGTTTGCCCCGTCTATATCCATTTTTCTTTTCTTAACATTAGTCACATCAGATATAGAATATATGTAAGACAAACATTTGATTCTTGCCACCAGTAAAGCATTTGATTTATAGAGGCCTGTATGAAATGATACTGCCACCTGTGGCCAAAACACAGAACTGCAACACAGTTCTGCTCATTCTTGTAGCTCTAACTCGTTCTTAACAAGATTTGTTTTTACTTTTTTCACCTTGCCATTGGTGTCTGAGTTGAGCTAGATTCTGATTGCTTCTTAGTATGCACTAAATCCATTTTGAGTTGCACAGGAACTTCAGACCCACAATAAATTGAGGAAAATAGGCTACAGCAGAGGTCTTCAACAGGGGTCCGCGACCCCTAGGGGGTCCACGGAGGTACTGCATGGGGGTCGCGAAAGTTTTGGTTGATCAGACTTTTTTTTTATATTCCCCCTTGCAATTTGTTCCACTAATTAAAATGTCTTTAAATACAAATTAACATGATTTCAACACACTGTAGTAAACAGAGCAATGGAGGGATCAATGCATCAATGCACACATTCAGCGACACACAGGAGCTCTTTCAAACTGGGCACCATTTCATTCACAACACCTGTCCCATCAACCAGGAATCAGAATCAGAAATACTTTAATAATCCCAGGGAGATATTACTTTAGTTACATGACTCCATCTCTAATAGAGTAACTATAGGAACAGTTTGATAGAACACAATTTCATACAATATATATAACTAGGGGGTCCCTACTCCATCTCGCCATCAGTTTGGGGTCCTTCGTTGAAGACCCCTGGGCTACAGGATTATAGGTGCATCAGCGCTGAACTACTGATGTTTCAGTTTGTTTATCAAACAATAGTTAAGTTGTAAATGGTAAATAAAGTTTTTTTTTTTTTTTTTAAACGTACAAAAATTCAGTTTGAACACTGGCTTTTTGAATAAATCTACATGTAACAGAATAAAAAAAAATAATAGTTTTGAAGTTACTTTACCAGAGAACCTGTTTTTCTTATTTAGAAAACTTTAAACATCTTATGACCAAGGGCAACAGTAGCTTATTCTTTGTCAGTTTTTCAAAGGCCAGATTTATAAAATGTATTGTTAAAATGTTGTCCCTCAGATGGAACACTCCCTGAACGGGGCCTGATTATGTATTATGTCATGTTTTTTTATAATTGTCTTTACTATTGTAAAGTTTAAAGTATTAATGTATAATTGTATTTTACAAAAAAAAAAAAGGAATACAATGGACACTTAAGTTGTAGATAAGTGTTGCCTCCATCAGATTCTTCCAATTAGCTGATTTAGTAAACAAGTGAAGAGGGATGTCCTATGTTTATAGTTTTGTTATACTCTCAAATTGAATCCTGACACAAACAAGATATGTTAATAA